TGCTCCATGTGCGTCCTTCCCAAAGGTGAGTGCTTGGTGGAAGAGGACAATCACCCCCAATAGAGGAGGACCGTTTCCCGGGTCGAGGGCATACGAGTAGCTGCACTCCCCTGCTAGAACCTCTAAACAAGCTCTCAAATTTATTCAATACATGAATAGACTCGGGGCCAGGGATTTAGCTCAGCTACACCCTGCCTGCCTTGAAAGCGAAAGGTCCTGAGTTTGATTCCTGGTAGGGGGGTTGAAATGACGCCTGCCTGAGCAACCCTCAAGGTGGTCAGTTAAGTCATTAATATATAAAGAGAAAAGCAGACTTAGGGAAGTAACTCAGTGGTACAGCACTTGCCTAACATTTATGAGGCTCTGGGTTTGATGCATAGCTCTGCAAACAAATAAAAAAACTCCAACAAATAAAACTCTCAGAAAAACAAACAAGCAAGCAAACAAACAAACACCTGAAAAACAAAGAGAAAACAAACAAACGTAAAAACAAGGCAGGTGTGGTGGTTCACATTTGTAATCCCAGCACTCTGGGAGACTGAGGCAGAAGGGTCATAAGTGTGAAGTCAGTGCGGGCAACTTAGGAAACCGTCTCAAACAAAACAAAACAAAAGAAAAAGAAGGGCCAGGCGTGGTGGCACATGCCTGTAATCCTAGCACTTGGGAGGCTGAGGCAGGGGGATTGCCATGAGTTGGAGGCCAGCCTGGGCTACATAGTGAGTTCAAGGTCAGCCTGAACTACACAATGAGATTGACTCAAAAGAGGGGGAGGAGAAGGGGGATGAGAAGGAGAAGAAAATAATCAGGATTTTGTAAATATGATCAGTATGTCTTGTATAGTTATGGCATATGTGAGTAGAAAAATGGATGAAAAGTAAGACAAATAATGAAGGCTCATCAGAGATAAGCCCAAGAAAGAAGTCATTGTAAGAGCTCATATTTCTTATACCCACAATCTTTATTTCATACCCTGCTACAGTTATCTACAAATATATAATCAAGTGATCTTCTTTCCTTGTAGCACTTTTAAATAACTTTATTAAGGTTTATATTTTATTTTATTTTAGAGACAATGTCTTGCTTTGTAGTGGTTCAGGCTGGCCTTCAACTCACACTGATCCTCCTGCCTCAGCCTCCCAAGTGCTGGGACTTGGGAGGCACCACCATGCCTGGCACATACCTGTAGTCCCAGCACTCCCAGGCTGAGGCAGGAGGATTGCACTGAGTTCAAGGCCAGCATGAACTATACAATGAGACTGTCTCAAAAAAAAAAATTAATTCTAAGGCATCAAAAGTAAAGAGGGGAAAAAAGATTGTAATACCTGGATAAGACATTCAACTCTGAATCTTCTGGCAACTAGGTCATAAAGGAAACATAAAATTACAGTTTCCAGGGACTGGGGATTTAGCTCAGTGGTTCTGCTGCCTGCCTCGAAAGCGCAAGGTCCTGTTTGATCCCCGGTACCAAAAAAAAAAATTACCGTTTCCATTTTCTGACAAAAAGAAAGAAGGATATAACTTTATCTGCAGAGGCAAAAACTCTCCTGGAACTCATGCAAACAATGACATCACAATTTTTTTTTTTTTTTTCTAAATGGGACTAAGGAGAAGCTCCTTCCCACTTTCACATAGGAAAAACATGGATTTACTTTAATTTTGATGATATGCAATCAAGGTTGAATTAGCCAACGCTTACCAACATCATTTCCATCTGTAACAATGGGGACAGTAACTCGTATTTACTAGTGGACTGTAGGAAAGAGTAAGTTATATAATTTATGTGAAGTACTCAGTAAACTGCCTTGAGTAATTTTACAAATCAAAGAAAGGTTGCATCAACCTTTAGTTTGATCTTTTTTCCTCTCCTGTGGTACTGGGCACTGAACCCATGGCCTTCACACTGAGCTGTTTCACCACCACTTTTACATTTTAGTTTGTGACAGGGTTTCGCTAAAGTTGCTAAATTGCCCAGGCTGGACTTGAACTTTCGATCCTCCTCCTCAGCCTTCCAGACTGCTGGGATTTACAGCTTTCCCCACCATACCTGGCTGATTTTCTTTTTAAAAAGCTGAGAGCATAACAACAATATTGTGACTTACTGGAAGGAATTTTGTAAATAGGTGCAATTCTGTTCATCCCAAGTGGAATATCTGAGACAAAGACTTTTTTTGGTGCTGAGACTCAAACCTAGGGCCATGTGCATGCTAGGCAATCACTCTACCACTGGGCCACATCCAGCCTTCCTACTCTGCTTCGTGACTTCATTAACTGCAGGACAAAACACTGCAAGTTTGCAATGGAGAGGTGTGGAGAGGCACAAGATCTCAATTCAGTTTAGGATCACCGCTTTTTTTTTTTTGAGATAGCATCTATGTAGTCCAGGATGGCCTTGAATTTGCAATCCTGCCTCGAGCTTGTTTTACTAAGCTTTAATTTTTATTTTGCTTTGAAAAGAATAAAAAGCTGCTTTTCAGATGTTTGACATCATGAAAAGCCCCCAAATTAAATGACAATGATAATGATAATGATGATGATTATTCTACGGTACTGGGAATTGAACCCAGGACTTTCACACTGAACTACATTTTCAGCCTTTTTTGTAGTTTTAAATTTTTAGACAAGGTCCTGCTGAATCCTCTAAATTAGCTGGCCTTGAACTTGGGATCCTCTTGCTTCAGCTTCCCAGAGTGCTGAGGGTGTGTGTGCCACCACATCTGGCTAAACCTCAACATTAGATTATCAAACCATAATTACTTAGGTGAGGATATACTGTGCAATGCATAAAATCAACTGATAAATATTAATTAGATATGAAGCCATACAAATTTCACTGATGTTATGTAGGAGTAGGAAATTTCTACGAGTAGTTTCATCTTGCTAGTATTTAATTTTTATGCTTAAACATATTTCTTCTCAGCCCACTAAATAAAACTCTTCAGTTATTATTTGGATGCATGAATATGTGTTTTCAAGTACAATGTATAAAATAAACAAAATAACATTACGCATATTTTAAGGCTCTAGTATAATCCTTTAAGATCAAATCAGAATTCCCCCTCTGGAACAAAAATAACTTATGCAACTTTATGAGAAAAAATGTAGTTGATATAACTGAATAGACATCAAAACTGTAGTTACTTTCTCAAATATTCAGTTTTAAGGGCCGGGGATGTAGCTCAGTGGCACCGTGCCTGCCTCACAAGAGCAAGGTCCTGAGTTCAATCCCTGGTACCAATAAAAAAAAAAAAATCCAATTTTAAAAACGTGAAAATTCTATACAGTACATGAATCAAGCTTCCACAGGGAAGAAATAATTATTTGAAGGCAGAATTCTAGATATATATGTTAGATATGGCCTAGGATGTCAGAAGTGAGAAGAAAGAATAAATATTTTTAGAAAAGTTCTACCTAGCCCTTGTTAGATTATCTACCTAAAAGTTCCTCTTAAATCGTGTCCAGGGACACCTTCTTAATGCATTTACTCATTACCTTACTGACACCTAAAAGAACTTACTCCCAAACCCACTCCTTAGATGGAAATGACCCTGCAGTTCCTCTGACACCATTTCCAGGATGTGCGCCTTTGAATTGCTTCTGGCACTAATCTACTGTTCACCTCTCTCAGTGTAATTCTTCCGTTAATTTATTCCCAAACATTTGGTACACTTTTTCCTGAGTAGGAAACAGTGTTTTTAGGACAGTCATAAACCAATGAACTACTCTGAATATTTCTTTTTTAGAATAAAGAAAAGGTAAAAAGATGGCTAAAAGAAGGCAGTGATGTGTAAAAGTGCTCAGGACTAAAACATTAGGCATAATAATACCACACGCTGGTGAGAGTATATAGCTTCGAAACTCTCAAGTGGTGCAGGGAGAACTGCAAAAGTGCAGTACTTTGGAAAAGCCTGGGGCAGTTCCTTAAAACACACACCCCAGCAACGTTCACCTCAGCATTTGTGCTCCAAGGTATGTTTCCAAGACAAGTGGAAATTTACATTTACACAAAAACCTGTACATGGTTGGTTGCAGTTGCTTTACTTATATTTTATAGTGTAATATTAACCTGACTACAGATTAACAAGTTATTATAGTTAATATATTATTTTAAATGTCCCAAAACATAAACAACTCAAATGTCTATCAAGTAGTGAATGGATTAATAAATGAACATCAATACAATAGAGTGTATATAATGGACTCAGTAAGTGAAAAGCTAGACTTAAAAGGCTACATATTGTATTTCATTTGTATGGCATTCTGTAAAAGGTAAACTGTAGGTACAGAAAATAGATCAGTGGTTGTTAATGTAGGAGATTGGGGAAAAGGTTCAACTACAGAGTGCATGAGAGACTCCTTGAGGTGGTAAAATTATTCTATAACTTGATTGTGGTGGTACAGTATTTACACAATTGTGTCTATTTGTCAAAAAGCACAGAAACAAAAAGGGTGAATCTTAATGTTTTTATATTATACTTTAATAAACCTAACTAAAAAACAAAGCAAAACCAAACTGGGTATGTCTTTGGGTTACTAACTGGCTTTTGGCAAGCCATTTAAAACTCATTTTTCCTTCTATAAAATGGGAATTATTTTTAAAGGAATTTTGGTCAGAAACAAAAAAACTTTACGAACATTAAGGCTCAACATGAATATTAAATATTGGACACTGGGCATAAAATGATACATAAGAGAGAGGTACACTAAGAAATTTACTGTCTCACAGCAGAAAGAGATACATCAGATAATGATTAAATAATGTAGAAATTCAGTGACAGAGAAGTGAACAAATCAATACTGGTCAACAAGAAGGAGCATTCCGGAAATACAAATTAACTCTACAAATAAAGTATATCCCAAGTTGATCATAGTGAGATCCAAATGTGGGAAGTCATTAATAAGCATAGCCAACGATTTTAAACCAATAATATCAATAATCTTAAACCAATATGGATTTTGAAAATACTTAAAATGGTAAAAATGATTACAAAATGGAACAGTACCTCACGATGATTTAGAAGTTGTTCTAAATCTAATGCCATTTGGTTCTTCATCTGTAGCAAAGCTGATTTTTCTTTATTTAAATTGCTGGAAAAAAATTCAGGTTTTAAAAAGTGATCATGTCAGTGTAAATTTAGTTAATAAACAGTAAATAGCAAATGAGTAAACATAAATCTAGTCATTTGAATTAAAGATAAATTAAATCTGTAGTCAAGAAAGATACCAAATCAGTTACTGGAATGTTTAATGACTGGCCAAGTTCTTTAGTGAGAAGACTCTTTTAATAACCATGCAACAATGCAACTGAGATGCTTTCTAAGAACACTTTTCTGCCTATTAGGGGGATAAAATCAGGGTTTTAAAGTTGACTTCTAGCTGGGGATGGTGGTGCATATCTGTAATCCCAGCACTCGGAGGCTGAGGTAGGAGGATTGTTGTGAGTTTGAGGTCAGCTTGGGCTATACAGTGAGTTCAAGTTCAGCCTCAAATACGCAGGGAGACTTTGTCTCAAAAAATAAAACAAGGGTCAGGGACTTAGCTCAGTGGTTCCGTCACCTGCCTCGCAAGCACAAGGTCCCGAGTTTGATCCCCGGTACCAAAAAACAAAAATACAAAAATAAATAAATTAAAAAAACAAAACAAAACAACAACAACAAAAAATTAAAGTTGACTATTTACTCCTAAAATGTAAGAAGAGGAAGTGGGACTTATCTAAAAGGAAAAAGAATGTTTATATAGGCAAAATATTAAAACACAAGATATTGGAAGTCAAATTAAATATATATACAAGTATATCCTTAACGTTAAAAGTAGCACTTTATAATTTACTATGTTCTAAATTATTATGTATATAACTGAGGTAAACAAATCAGTTTGTGGTAAATAATTTGTTTTCAAATTTTTCCCCTTCTCAGTAGTGGGGATTGAACCGAGGATCTTCACACTGAGCTACACCCAGACTTTTTTTATTTTTACTTTTGAGACAGGGTCTCACTAAGTGACTAAACTGCCCAGGCTGAGTTTGAACTTGTAAGCCTTTTCCACAGCCTCCCAGAGAAGCAGGATTACAGGTATGAGTCACCACACCCGGCTGCATTTGGCTTGTTTTCTGACAAAAAAAGGTGAGAAGCTAGTTTATGATCCTAACAAGAAGGACATTTTAATACTTCAAAAGAGAAATATTTAGGACCTGCTTTTTATTATCCATAGTTTTATTATTCAACAGAGAAGTTAACTAGAACAATTATATGCAGTGTTCTTCTAAATCTACTCAAACAGCACTATACAAGAATTAAGAAAAGCAGTAATACATCAAAGTGACATAATTTCTCAAATGCTGAGGCAAAATATGTAAGGGTAAAATTAATAAGAATTATTTTGCTGAAGAGGTAAGATACCTTTAAGTAATACTTTAAGAAAATGGAAGGCCACCAATTATTTCAATATGAGGCAGTTGTTTTTTTTTGTTTTGTTTTTTTTAATTCGAGGAGTACTAGCAGGCACTCTAGAAGAACTGCTATTTCCAAGGATTTCAGAAGGAAGAGCCTACATATTCCTCCTTCCTAGTAACTGGGAACTCTCCTGGGAAGCGTCACAGTTTGTCCTCTAGAAGAAAGACCAGGCGCACGGCTGGCTTCCAGCTGTTTCCAGCTGTGCCACTGACTCAACTGTGTGGTACAAAGCATAACACACACCACACTGAACCTCAGCTCTCACATCTGTAAGAGTGGAAAATGCTCGTGTGTGTCACAGGGCTATGTGAATTATTTAATGATTATATAAAGCATTGAACACATAAAACTCTACATAAATGCTATACTGTATTACTAACTTAGATGAAAAACAGGCTTCACAGGAAAACAGTAATTATGCACCAATAAAGGTAAGCAGCTCAGCAGAAAAACAAACTGACTTTCAGAGTTAGGCGCCAGAGATCCTACTCAGCCGTGGAGTAGAGGAAACTAAGTGCCACTCTCGGCCACAGTCCCTAAAGCATGGTAAGGACCAGATGTTTCCGTGACTCTAAAATTCTCATCTATGTGAAGCCGGAATCATTTTGAAGATAAAGTATTCTTCAAAATTAAAATAAAAGCAGTGAATTTTTGAGGAACACATAAGTGTCTGTGTTCACATGCAAGCGCACACACCTACACACCATGTAAATGTTAGTTCACATGCAGGACACACGTACACACACCCTCCCTCTCTGTTCAGACAGTACACAAAATGTAGTACAATGCGGATGGAACATTAAATTACAAGATTTTGACTAATTTTTTAGAAATGCTTCATATGTAATGTTTAACTTTTCAAGAATAAAGTAAATATTCTATAGTTAAAAGCCCCCCCATATGGAATAAAAAGTAGGTGGATAAATTGGCTTACAGAGCAACTGTGTCCTATCTAAAAGATGTCAGTTTACCACAAATACTATCTACGGACTCTATGGACGACATTTCTGTGATTAGAATGTGTGAGGACATACTTTTGATTTTAGTGTTTGTTATAATATACTCCAACCACAAAGGGCACTACATTTGACAAAGTGGGTCCCTAAAACCTAATATGATGATTATTATATTCACTGTTCTGCTAGTACATATGTGATTACTCAATAGAAGTTTAGTCTTTGTAAGACATATTTCATAAGAGTGGAAACTTACCTTAAAAAATACAAAGCTTCTATGTGTGACTCATAAAACAACTACAAAACAAATCTCCTTATAAGCACATCTACCTTGAATGTTATATTACACCCATAATTGTTCAATTCACTGTTAATTATTACTCAGAAATTCACGTTTATGACTCTGTTTCACCTGCTATATGAAAACCTGATATGTTATTCCTTAACTTCCTGGATCAATTTACTCTGGCTTAGCCTTGGTAAGAGAAGTTGACAATGTGGTCTTTTTTCTTTTTTAACTACTAGTTAAGAATAAACTGACAACAGGGAAAGAAAATTTATGCTAATTCTTCTCTTTCCAGGCTTCCTTCAGTTCTGAAGTAGAGATCAAACCCAGATGTCTCTGTGGCAGAGGAGAGTGAACAACACCACTTTTAGAATGGATTATTATTGTAACGACAGGGAAATTTGAAGCAGTTACCAGGGACAGCTCAAATGTTAGCTTTTAACACATTTGTAATGACTTTTTTCAGTGTGAATTTATTCTCACCTTTGTAGAAACTGAACATATTGTATAAATGGCTAAGTTTGCAAAGAATGAATGTCGTTTAGTGGTATTGTTTAATTATGCTAAGAAAAAGCATAAAATTATTCAGTTCTTTACAGGGCTCTTATTTTATGTGAGATACTTTTTATATTCATGGCTGATGTAAATATTCTTTATAATTAAAATAAACACCACCAGAGGGAAATAGGATTTTTCAAGAAACATAACTTAGTAACCCTTTTGGATGACCATCTAATGTTTAAATTTTGAATTAATAAAGGATAAGTATAGGGGAAGTAACATGTATGGAATTTCTTTGATGCGCTAGAAGCTTTATATACAGTATTTTCCTTTGCCACACCTTGAGATTCACATTAATAACCACACTTCACAGACACATTCACCAGGAGAAAAGAACCCAGGCTGACTGTACTCAAAAGCCAGGATGACTCCATTCCAGGAAACCCACTGGCTCAGAGTAGGGGAGAACCAAGGGCACACACGCTGCATGCGCGGGCCCGGGCCCTCCCCTCTCCCCTCTCCCTGATTCGGTGGAAGCAGGCACCTTGACAGCAGCATCTCAGTGCCACGGTCAGACTACTGAAGACTTCACATTTTCACTTTGCAAGGTAGTTGCTTTGATTAACAGCAAGGTTTCATGTTTTAAAATAAGAGCTCAGAATCTTCTGAAATATACAGTAAATTTATGAAACAGTATTAAAGGACTGAGATATTTAGCAAACAAAATTTTGGTAGTTACTTCCATAGTTGGTATAGCTTTTATATATAATTTTATAATTTATAGCTTAATTTTGTCCAAATCTAACTTTTTTTTTTTTTTGGGTACCAAGGATCAAACTCAGGACCTTGCGCTTGCCAGGCAGGTGCAGGAAACACTGAGATAAATCCCCAGCCCCAAATCTAACATATTTTGAGAAGTATCTGTCAGGGTTTTTTTTCTTGTTTTTGTGGTATTGGAATTGAACTGAGGGCCTTACACATGCGAGGGAAGTATTCTACCAATGAGCTACATCCTTAGTGATTTTTTTGAGGGGAGGGTTTGTGACAAGGTCTTGCTATTTAGTTCAGGCTGGCCTTGAACTCACTGTGTAGCCCAGGCTGGCCTCAGCCTCCCAAGGGCTGGGACTACAGGCATGTGTCACTATGCTTGGCCATCCCTAATGTTTTTTAAACTTTTATTTTGAAAGAGGGATTCACAAAGTCATCCTAACTGGGCTTAAACTTGCAATTCTCCTGCCTCAGCTTCTGGGTAGCTGGGATTACAGGTGTGTACGACCATGTCCAGCTTATTTCTCCTTTAAAAAATAATTATCAATATAGAGACTTGTTAATGGTAATATAGATATTAATGAAAGCAAACATTCTTGAGCATCTATAACGTCTAGGCACTATGCTACATGTATTATAAAACTCACGTCACTTAACCCATAGGACAGCCATATCAGTGAGGTGCTATTAACATCACTCTGACTTCGCAGGTGAGGAAGTGGTTGTGCTGTTCAATACCATCGCTATTAGTCACAGTGGCAGCTAGAATTAAGATTAACCTAATTTAGTTATAATTAAAAATGTGGCTCCCCAGGAACTCTAGCCACATTCCAAATGCGCATTCACTGCGGATGGCAGGTGGCAACTACTGCACAGAGCAGACAGGAGCTACTTTTACATCACAGGAAGTCCTATGGCACAATGGAGGTTTTCATCTCACCGACCTGCCCCAAGCCAAAGCTAAGTACTGTTCTGGGCTGGATTTTAATCCATGCAACCTACCCAGAGAGCCTGGAGTCTCTTTTAAAATATTAAAAAACAAAATGAAACAAAACAAAACAAAGACAAGTTTATCAAAGAATTTTCAGAGAGAAAATATAACAAAAATGTATCTGTCACCCAGCTTCAACAATTATCAAATCAAATTCCTACTTTTTTTTTTTGTACCGGGTATCAAACTCTGGTCCTTGCACTTGCGCAGCAGGCGGTGAAACCACTGAACCAAATCCCCGGCCCCATCAAATCCCTACTTTTAACTACTATTCTACATTGTTTTTGGCTTCAATTCCTTGACTGTATTAATGAAAAATTATCCATATTTGGAATAGAACATAGGGAGGCAATATAACATAATGGTTAAGAGCACAGAATTAGGAAGTGGATGGATATGGATTCAAATTCTGGCTCTGCTGCAAAGCTGTATGTTCTTAGTGAATAAACTGCTGTCTGGACATGGTGGTGCACACCCATAATCCCAGCTCTCGGAAGGCTGAGGCAGGAGGGTTGCTGTGAATTTGAGGCCAGCCTGGTTTACACAGTGGGCTCAAGATCACCCTGAACTACATATTGAGACCCTGCCTCAAAACCCCAACAAAAAAGAAAAAAAAAACCAAAAAAACAAGATGAAATAAAAAACAACCCCTCAAATACCCAAACAAAACACGAATAAGCTGCTTAACAACCCTTAATAAGGGTGGAATTTGTTCATCTTAATTGCTCCTATAGCTAGCTATTATTTTTCTCTTTTTAAACATTTCAGCTATCTTCATTCTTAACAATATTAGTATACAAATAATATTTAAAATCAATTATAAGACGTAAATTTTCTAAGCCTTTCTATAGCTTCTTTAAGATTATAAGGTAAGTACAATTGAAAAAATTTTTCAAATATAATAAATATATCACATAGCAAGAAAAGTTCAATTTGAGGCTTCTCCTTCAATTTCCCTAAGATAACCAAGTCCCCAGTAGATGATGAAAGACATTGTATCTATTGTCTGATATATATTTATAATTATTAATTGATAAATATAGCAAAATATATTATAAATATATTTTAACTTTAATCTAAAAATAAGTTACTTATTTTGATGTTCAAAACACATATATGATTTTAAATTATTTTATCATATTTTCAAAAAATTCAGATCATGAGTAAAGCTCTGAACAAATTATTTTGGTGTGGTGAAAATGAGAGATGAAAATTATTCTCATTGATCCCTCAAAAAAAAAATCCCACTTATACTTTGGAGTTAATCATTAAGAGTTTACTTATTTGGTTGTACACCTTAGAAAAAGCAGGATTATTATTAATAATCATCTTTTCTTTATTGTTTTCCAGTTTCTTAATTTAACATTTGTTGTTCCCACCATCCTTTGCTCCTACATTTACAATGGGTTAATAATTTATCCTGAAAAATGTACATTATCATAATAAGAATTTTACAATAATCTTAAAATATAATAAGTAAGCCACCTAACCAACCACTCATGAGTTAAAGCCTTTTTTACAACACATAGCATCAATCTTACTTCAGTTTAAAAAACTAAAATGATCATGCAGATGAACAGGTAAAGAATTCGAGTGACTAACAGGTGGAGCAAGTCTTTGGATAAGGTCTCAAAAAGAAAACAATTTTAAACTAAGGAAGTGAAAAGAATTTATTTGTTTACATTGAGATAATTCATGGGTTACTTCATGTAAGTGTCACGGAAGAAAAGCCTAAAAAATTCCTTGGCAAAGTCAACATGAATCTATGTCAGTGTGTACACCTGACCTGTAAAAGCCACTTTAACTCCACACTGGAGCTGTACATAGTCTTTAGGGCAACTCTCACCCCAGGGGACCAAGGACAGGAGAGCTGCTGTGTCACCTCCCGTGGCTGGAGTGTTCCATGCTGAGACTTCAGATCCCAAGGGGGGAAGTGCACACCTGATGGGATGTCATGTGGTTTTGCTAAGAGATGCAGAAGTCTCATTGCATCTTCTTTAAGATCATTTTCATTATGAAAATCTCCTCACAGTTTACGATCTAAATTCAATAGCAGCAATATGTTTACAGTGCCTTTCCTGTTCAAATAAAAGATGTGTAGATGGTTTACCTGACATCTTTCTCGAGTTGTGCTATACACTGCATCAGCGAATCAATCTTAGAATCTCTCTGACGTACTGATTCAATCAGGTATCTGTAAGGTTGTTCAGTCTGGTTTAACAGCGAATTGGCTCTGTCACGCTAAAGAAACACACATTTCATTAAACTTTAGGAAATGTGACAACAAACTAAAATCATTAAAAATGCTCCACACAAATTAGCTAAAAAGGAGTATCTTTCATTTCAATTTTATTTCTACTGAAAATACACAATCATAGCATAATTTAGCAATCTGTCTTCTTCTTTTGGGTGGTACTGGGGATTGAGAACCCAGGGCCTTTGCACCGAGCTCTGCACATCCCTGGCACTTTTTATTTATTTTAAATTTTGAGGCAGAGTCACACTAAGTTGCCCAGGCTGGGCTTAAATCTGAGAACCTCTGTCAGCCTTCCCGAGTCCCAGGATTACAGGTGTGTACCACCACACTGGCTGATTTAGTAATTTTCATTTCCTTTTATTCTCTTGTTTTAAAAATATATGATTTATGCACCTGCATTACTATGTAGAGATTTTTTTAAGTTGTGGTTAAAATATAAATAAAATTTATCACTTTAAGCATCTTTAAGTGCACAATTCGGTGGCATTAGGGATGTTCACAATATGGTATAGCCGTCACTACTGTCTTTTCTGAGGAGAGGGGGTTAGGGATTGAGTCAAGGGCCTGGTGTGTGTTAAATGCGTACTGTATATGGACACTCCCCAGTCTCAAAGCATCTGTTGAATTACTACTGACAAAGTAGTTCGACATGCTTTGTGTTGTTTTGGTGGTGGTGGTGCCGGGGATTGAACTTGGGGCCTTAATCACTGAACTATACCCCCAGATCTACACTACCTATTTCCAGAACATTTTCATCAGCCCAGAAAGAAACTCAGTGGCAATTAAGCAAAAACTCCCAATTTTCCTCCTGCAGGCATTGGAAATCTCTATCCTACTTGATGGCTCTATGAATTTGCCTGTTCTGGACAGTTCACAGAAGTGATCATGCAGTGTGTGCCTATTTGTGTCTGCTCATGTCACTCCACACAATGTTTCCAGGCTCATCTGTTTTGTACCATGTATGAGAACTTTATCCCGTGATGCTGAATAGTATCACACTGTACACTCGTAGCATATTTTGTTTACTGTTCACCTGCTAACAGACACTTGGGTGTTTCCACTTTCTGGCTACTTTGAGTAATGCTGCTATGAACTTTAGTGCACAAATACCTGCGTACCCTGATTTTAATTGTTCTGAGTATCTACCTGGCAGCAGGTGGCATTACCTAATCCTATATTTAAGTTTCTGAGGCACTACAGACTGTTTTCTACAAAAGCCATACAGTACCGTTTTGTATCCTTCCCAACAATCTAATTAGTTTCAGCTTCTCTACATACTGCCCAACCCTTGTTAGTTCATGTGCAAGAGGCTATTATATTTCTTTGGAGAAACGTTTACTCAAGTCTTTTGCCATATTTTAATTTTTGTTGTTGTTGAGCTACAGGAATTCTTTATATATTCTGGAAAATAAACTCTTACTAGATATATAATTTGCAAATATTTTCTCTCATTGTGTGGGCTGTTATTTACTCTCTTAATAATGCCCCTTAAAGCACAAGTTAGTATATATATGTCTCACACTTTGTAAAATGGGTTATACAGATTCATGGGTTCCATGGACAGACTCATACAAACAAATAACATACAGGAATCATTTTCACTCTGTCCCTCGTTCTGCCCTCTGCACTGGCTTCACTTTGACGGGGACTTCCATATGTCCATTTTGCTTATATTGATCCTCCATTACCTGTTTTTTACACCCCTCCTCCTCCTTCTTGTTCCCCTCTTCTTGTCTAACAATAGTTTCCCTTCTACTTTCTTGTCATTTTTTTTAGAGTCTACATTTTAGGGAGAACATGAGATATTTTTCTCTCTGATCCTGGCTTATTTTGCTTAACACGATGTTCTCCAGATCTATTTTCCTGCAAATGACATTGTTTTGTTCTTCCATTGTGTATATATACCACATGTTCTTTATCTATTCATGCTGGGCATCTAGGCTAGTCCCACATTCTGGCTACTATAAACATGAGTATGCAGGGATCCTTATGGTATGCTGACTTAACTGTTTGAGGTGTATACCAAGAAGTGGTGCAGCAGGATCACTTGATCTTAGCCAAAAGGTGGAAAAGCGATGATACAGCTAGATCAAAGGGTAGCTCTTGTTTTGGGATTTTGAGGAAGCTCCATACTGATTTCCACAGCAGCTGTACTAATTTTTATACATCCACGAGTAGTGCAGAAGTGTTCTTATTTCCCTGTATCCTTTCCACCATTTTGTTTTGTTTTTTGAGGCAGGGTCTCGCTATGTAGTTCAGGCTGGCTTCGAACTATGTAGCCCAGGCTGGCTTCAAATTTGCAGATCCTTCTGGCTCAGGCTCCTGAGTGCTGGGATTACAGGCACGCATCATCATGCCCAGCTAATGTTTTTTGTATTTTTGATAGTCATTCTGTCTAAATGTAGTTTTGATTTGCAGTTTGTTAATAGCTAGTGATGTTGAACATATTTCCAAAATTTATTGGGCATTTATAATAAAGTTCTTTTGGGAGTGTTTATTTATTTGCTCATTTACTGAATTTTTGGTGTTGTTTTTAAAGTTCTTTATAAATTCTATATATTAATGCTCTGTTGGAAAAGTAGCTGGTAAAGATTTTTTCCATTCTGTAGGCTGTCTTCACTTTGTTAGTTTCCCTTGCTATGCTGAAACTTTTAAATTCAATGTAGTCCCATTTGTTGATTCTTGCTATTATTTCTTGTGTTACTGGGGCTCTATTCAGGAAGTCTTTGCCTATACGTATTGCTTCAAGTGTTTGTCCTATGTTTTCTTTTAGTACTTTCAAAGTTTCAGGTCTTTGATCCATTTTTAAAAAACTTATATTCTTTATTAGTACATATTTGTCATACATATTGACTATATTCATAACAGGGAATTTGTACCTGTACATAATATAACTTGATTCTTTTTTCCCCCCCCATTCCCTTCCTTTCCCTTCAACCCTGCATTTTTTTTTTTTTGGGGGTACTGGGGATCGAACTTGGGACCTTGCAATTGTGAGGCAGGCGGCGGAACCACTGAGCTAAATTCCCAGCCCAATCCTTCATTTTTAAATTAATTTTTTGTGCAAGGTGAGAGAGAGGGATCTAGGGATTTAGGTTCAGTGTTCCACAACTAGATAGCCAGTTTTCTCAACACATTTGCTAAAGAGGTTGTTTTTTTTCTAAGATATATTTTTGGCTCCTTTGTCTACAATGAGATGGATGTAGTTATGTGGGTTTGTTTCTGTGTCCTCTAGCCTGTTACTTTGGTCTACATGTCTACTTTGTGTGATTACTATACTACTTTCTTTTTCTTTCTTTCTTTCATTTTTTTTTTTTGGTACTGGAAATTGAACTCAGGGCCTTGTACTTGCCAGGCAGGCCACTGAGCCACATACCGGGCCCACCATGCTATTTTCTGTTACTGAAATTTTCATTGTAGAGCTCTTTTACTTCTTTGTTAAGACTGATCCCTAGGTATGTTATTTTATTTGGTGTTATTGTGAATGGAATTGTCTTTCTGATTTCTTAGTCCTATTGGTGTACAGTGAAGCTATTGCTTTTCATATTGATTTTATATCCTGCTACTTTGCTGAATTCATTTATCAATCGTAAAAGTCTTTTGGTAGAGTCCTTAGAGACTTTATTTTTGTACCGGGGATCGAACTCACAACCTTGAGCTTTTGAGGCAGGCAGCAGCACCACTGAGCTAAATCCCTGGCCTATTAGAGACTTAAATATAGGATCATATCATATCAAGATGGTTTGACTTCTTCCTTTCCTATTTGTATTCCTTTAAGTTTTTCTCTTGGCTAATTACCTAACATTTCAAGAACTACATTGAATAAGACCTGTGAAACTGACCATCCTTGCCTTGTTTGTGAACAAATTTTTATAGGTATGAATTCTGATTTATCTATTTTTTTTTTTCTTTTGTGTCTGTTGTTTTTTTTTTGGTACCGGGGATTGAACTCAGGTTGTTGTGCTTGTGGGGCAGGCGGCAGCACCACTGAGCTAAATCCCTGACCCTGTGTTTGTCTTTTTGAAAAAAACCACTACCAAATCTTTTTTTTTTCTCCCGTACCAGGGATTGAATTCAGGCGCCTGTGCTTGAGAGGCAGGTGGAGGAACTACTGCGTTAAATCCCTGGCCCCAACCACTGCCAAACCTGAAATTCATAGGGATTGTCTCTTGCTTTTTTCTATGAATTTTATACCTGTAGCTCTTAAATTTAGGTCTTTGATCCACTTGTAGAGTTAGTTTTTGTACATGATATAAGGTCAGGGTCCAACTTCATTCTGTTGTATGAAGATATCCAGTTCTACTAGGTCTATTTGTTGAGTAGACTATAATTTCCACAACGAATGGTGCTGGCACCCTTGTAAAAAGGAACCAGACTTTATTCCGCAGGCATGGGGGCACATTGGCAATCCCAGTTACTTTTGAGCAAAGGCAGGAGGATCACAAGTGTAAGAATAACCTGGGCAACTTAGTGAGACCTTGCTCCCCCACCACCCCACCCCTGGCAAAAAAAGGGCTGAGGATGCGGCTTAGTTATTGAGTCTCAGCTTAGAGGTGCTTGAGGCCCTGGGTTCAATATCCAGGACTAAAAAACCAAAAATCCAGCTGGGTGTGGTGGTGCACCCCTGTAATCCTAGCACTCATGAGGCTGGGGAGGGAAGATCTTGAGTTTGAGGCCAGCCTGGACTACACAGGCAAGATCTAGTCTCAATAACCACCACCACCACCACCACTCCCACCTACCACTCCCACCTCTAAACCAAACATTAAAAAATATGTGAATCAATGTTTATTTCTGAGCTCTTTGTTTTTTAATTCTACTGGTCTATATGTCTGTCTTTATGCCTGTAACACACTGTTTTGATAATTGTAGCTTGGTGATATCTGGAAGTAGGAGTCCTCCAAATTTGCTTTCTTTTCAAGATTGCTTTGGCCAATGGAGGTCCCTTAAAGTCCCACATGGAATTTGTGTGTGTGTGTGTGTG